ATGCAGCATAGCAACTGAAAAGAATGAAATAAATTTATTTACATCAATCTGGAAAAATCTTAAAGAAACATTTGATGCAAAAGTGAGTTACAAAATGTTATATAATGCCACTTATGTACATCTTGAGAACCAAACACCTTTTATTCATTGTTGATGTAACCATGCACATGTAGGAGCAACATTCAAACTTTCAAAGAAAGAATCTGCACCAACTTTAAGACAATGGTTACCTCCAAGAGAAAGGACTACAAAAAGGATTTCATTTATGTGGCAATACTTTATTTAAAAAAAAAATCCTAATCAAAAAACAATTTTTTGTGTGTGCAAATGTGCTCTTCTACATTCTTTCAACATGAAAGAATACAGAAGCACCACATCATGAATATGTGAAATTGTCTCTCTCTCAAGGCCTTGAGAAGTTGAAGTCCAACAGTAAAACTGTCTTGGCAGAAGTAAATAATAGTAAGAATAAAAAATGTAAATGAACAAAAGGCAAAGACTATATATTTTGGCTCACAAAATGAAAATTCAAAGATTTTTAAAAAGATTCATGTATCTATTTATTCGAGAGAAAGCATGAGTAGTGAGCAGGGGGAAGGGCAGAAGGAGAGGGAGAGACAGAATCCCAAGCAGCCTCTCACTGAGCATAAAGCCCAAGGCAGGGCTTGACCTCACAACCCATAGATCATGAGCTGAGCTGAAATCATGAGTTGGATGCTTAACTGACTGAGCCATGGGTACCCCGAAAATTTAAATAGTTTTAAATAAAATCTCAAAAGCCTTTTCTGTCTGTGGTCTTGCTGGCATCACCATCCTTTATTATTTGTAGAGTAATATCTAAGATACTATGTATTGTGGCTTGTATTATGGCTTGGTGTTCTTTTGGGGGTAGATTTGTAGGGTTTTTCTTTTCAAATAATTGTGTATCTGTTGATACCATCTGAAGCTATCATATGAACTTAATACTAAAAGGAAAATACTTACATCAAGAAAAAAAGAAGGCCTGTAGGGTTACTATACAACCATGATTTACTGAACAGAAATGTTTCATTTTGAAACACATCTAATATTTACTTTTTTACTTTTTATTTTTTTAAAGATTTTTAAAAATTTATTTTAGAGAGAGAGACACAGCGAGAGAGGAAACACAAGCAGGGGAAATGGGAGAGGGAGAAGCAGGCTTCCTACCAAGCGGGGAGCCTGATGTGGGGCTCAATCCCAGGACCCTGGGATCAAAACCCGAGCCGAAAGCAGACACATAATAGCTGAGTTACACAGGCACCCTTCCTTTCTTTCTTTTAGAAAAGATTTTATTTATTCATTTGAGAGAACGAGCAAGCACGAGCCAGGGAGAGGGGCAGAGGGAGAGGGAGAACCATGGGGCTCCATCCAAGGACCCCAGGATCATGACCTGAGCTGAAGGCAGATGCTTAACCAACTGAGCCACCCAGGTGCTCTGAAACACATATATTCTTTGTAAAGTTCACTTAAAATGAAGAACTGTGAGTTTATTAGAGGTATTACTTTAATCTAAACTGGAACAAGATGGAACTTTTGAAAGAAAGGTTTCTAAAGCTTTACATAACATTGTGATTTAAAGAACTTTTTAAACCCATGGTTCGATATAACCTTTACAGATAAAAGTTGACAGAAAAAGGAGCAGTGAGCGGCTTGAAAAAGAAAATGAGCTAAAAAGTTTTCAGAAATAAGGAAGGACTTCTGTTTAAGCAGAAAACACTACTGTGAACTCGTGACCTTGAAAATAGTTAAAACTATTTTTCTTTACTCAGACCCTAAATGGGCCCAAGCAAGCTCTGGTCTCACCCTGCCCACAAACAGGGCACATCTGCACGCCCGGCTGCTGCTGTCTAGTACAATGTGTCCCTGAAAGGAACCAACACTGCCAAGGCAGTGGCTGACTCCAAGTCTTGGAGCAGGGACAAAAGCAAAATCAGTAGAAACATAATATTACCAAGAAGCACAGATGCTTTCCAAGATGTTCACGCTAGTGCTAAGAAGGAAAAGGAAGAAACTTGACAGGCCCTCTGATGGCCACATTATGAGAATTCGAGCCTCTGGGACGATCGCCTCCACAGTGAAGTAGATGAAATCAGCTAAGTCCTACAAAGGCATAACTCCCTATGCCTGTAATGATACTGTGTATGAGGACAGGCATGCAGGAGATACTGTGTGCAGAAAACGGTTTCTACTGATATACCCATTCAAGTTTTTGATACCACCTAAGGACATAACTAAGGTTTTTCTCTCTTCTTGTGTAGAAAGAACAGCGTCAGCAAATTGTGACTGGCACCCTTTTTACTAAAAGATGTCAAAAGCTCCAGGAACCTTTGGCAAAAGATAAACTTTACATATGGAACATGCGATTATCATTTGATGTTTAATTTTGCTGTCAAGGATACTGCTGTATCAAGGATACATCTCAACTTAAATATGTTAATGGGGCTAGGATGGTATCTTACCATGACCAGTCATTTCTGTCCCGTGGGAGGTTTATCAGGACAGGCAGTCTTAAATTTACACAAATCCACTTTATAGAGACCTTGTTTTTAAAATACATTATTTAAAAAGTTTGTCTCTACGTTTTTATTTAGAAAGGTATTAAATTTTTCTGTATCTTATTCCTCTCTCAAAAAAATCCATGTTGTTTCTTGTTTTATTTTACTGAAGTACAGCTAAGTAGGAAAAAGTATCTCTCTACTTTATTAAGTATATAATCTATAATTATATACTAGTCCAAGTCATTAGGGCTGCCTTTCCTCTACTCTAGTATTCTGTTGCTAACAAAGGCCCCCGGGATCGAGCAAGAAGAAGGAATGTCTTACCTGACATCAGTCTTAAAGTTTTTATTAGCCATCTGTGGCTGTCATTCATAAATTTCACAAATCCTTCTTGAATTCACATAATTTATGCCTACACTATTACTTGAAGTTAATTAAGTCCCACGATTCCCTTGTTTTCATTTGTCTAAACTTATCTTTTTAAAAATTTAATTAGCCAACATTTGGTACATCATTAGTTTCAGATGTAGTGACTCAATAATTCATCAGTTGCATATAACACCCAGGACTCATCACACAATGTGCCCTCCTTAATGCCCATCACCCAGTTACCCCATCCCTCCTCCATCCGCCTCCCCTCGGTTTGTTTCCTATAGTTAAGAGTTTCTCATGGTTTATCTCCCTCTCTGATGACTTGCCCTTCAGCTTTCCCTCCCTTCCTCTAAGATCCTCTGAGCTGTTATTTATATTCCACATATGAGTGAAACCATGTAATTGTCTTTTTCTGATCATCCCAAACTTATCTTAAACTTAGGAGAGGCTGCCTCTCTTCCTAGAATCTTAGAAGTTCTTGAACAAGCCTGTGCTCAATCTAACCTAGGTCTTTTTAGATGAAGGGTTACTCAGCCTTTTGGCCTCCACTCCTTTACTAGGACTGCCGTCTCTCCTCCCAGTCGATCCTCTCTGGCCAGTCCTTAGTTCCACCATGCCCTTTCGAAGATGTGCTTGCCACATCAATGTCCAATGCTGTGTTGGGATCTTTGTCCTCACTAGAGTACAAAACTGCTGTTCTTTATACCCTTAATAATTAACAGCGCCTTTTCAGAGTTACGGTTCTGGAATATTTAGAACTATTGTCAATTCCTTTCAATCACTCCACTGCCAATTTTAAAATCAGTTTACAACTTGTTGTTGTTCAGGAACACAAATGTTTAAAACCTTCCTGTTCTCTAGATCAATCATTTGTGGCTCTTCCCTATCTGATTTTTCATAGAGTTCATATATAAAAATGCTAAGTAATTCCAGTCCTAGCATGATGTCAAAGACCTGATCAACCGTTTACATTTCTTTACCTATGAAATCACACTTTTACCCCGACCCACTGTTTCCTCTCTTCTCTCTCCTCCCTTCTCCCAATTCCATGGTGATGTAGCAGAACACTCATTCATTCATGAAACAGTTATCAGCATCTACTCTATGCTAGGTACAAAAACAAGATGTTAAGAATATAACAAAATAGGGGCGCCTGGGTGGCTCAGTTGGTTAAGCATCTGCCTTCGGCTCCGGTCATGATCCCAGGGTTCTGGGATCATGCCCCACGTGAGGCTCCCTGCTCAGATGGGAGTCTGCTTCTCCCTCTCTCTCTTGGCTTGCTGTTCCTCCTCCTTATGCCCACCTCTCCTTGTCAAATAAATAAAATCTTTTTAAAAATAAAGAATATAATAAAATAAACATAGTGTCCCTACCCTAAAGAACCTCTAGTGATTCTTTATTTACTTGCCTATTTTACTCCTCAAAAATACTAGCTGGGGACAGTTTTTTGTTTTTTGTTTTTAATCATAAATCATTTGTTTTTATTCTAAAAGAGTGTTTTTTATGTTCTTGGTTTTAGAATTCAAAGGTTTACCACTGTGGATGGTGAGGATGAAACTGAATTACTTGTACCTTCTCAAATCTTTTTTAGGTCTGCACTAGTCCCCTGGTTATTTAAATTAATTACAATTAAATAAGATTAAGAATTCAGTTTCTCAGTTGCACTAACTGCAATGCAGGTGCTTGATGGCTAAGACGGTTAATCACTACCATATTGGCAGCATAGACTTAGACCATTTCCGTCATCACAGAAAGTTCTAGCTGAGAGCACTCCTTGGACAGTTCTTACATAAGGGGTCACACATGGCCACATATAAAAACAGGTTACACATTCTGGCAAACAATTAATGACTTTTTCATTACTCATGATGGCACTTGGTGCTAGTAAGTCACTTACATTCTTTTTGTCAGTACAGTCTAAATTATCTTAAATACAGACTACTATTGAATATAGTTTTAATTATGATGTAAGCCAAATAATCATTTCTTTTTTAATCTTATTACTAGCAGAATACATAACTGGAAATGCATAATGAAAATACCTAAATATAAGAGCAATAATGAAATAAATAATCAATTCAACATGGGAAACATCATGGAGAAACTTACCCTCCTTCACTTTCTGCTTCCTCTGAACTATTACTTGTTCCAGAACTTTGAACGGTGGCAAGCCTTCTTTTTCTAGCTCTGTGCTGAGGACTTATCTTATGAACAGTTATCCGCCCTCCAAGTTCACCTTGTATATATTCCTCCAGCTTTGGAATGGTTTCTTTAAGAACCCTGATTTCCTCTTTGAGTTCTTCCATATTTACCAGTAATTCATTTAACTTCTCCAATATCTGAAGCTGCCTTCTTTGAAAGATTGCTGCTGTTTCTTGGCCATTATACATTTCATCTTGAAAAGTCATGGAATCAAACTTATTACCCAGAGAAAGAAATTTAGGTAAATTCAGTGTTGTCCTTGATTTACGAACCTTGTGGTACCACAAAAGAAGCAAGCTGATTCCAGTAGTTCCCACCATGATGCCAACTATCAGTTCTTTGTTTGTGGAATGAGGCATTTCTTGGGTTTTGTTTCTAAAATTGAAAGCATAAATGTAAATAAATGTTGTTTCTGTCTTTGCCCAAGACAAAAATATTAAAGCTTTCTCAATCAACAAAAGTCAAGTCCCCGTCACAGACACACAGACACACACACAGACACACACACATGAAAAATCATAAACTAAAATACACTCTAAGTATAATATATTTATTTCTAAAATGTATGTGGCCCAATAGAAATATTTACTTTAAAGATATCACTGAAGTCCAGTGTAAAGTTTCAATTTTAACTCAGAATTTGTATTCTACATGACTGATCTGAAACTTATTCTTTATCATATATTTTGAAAGAATATGATAGTGGTAAAAGCATCATTATACATTTCTGGAAAAAAAAAGCTATTTAAGAATTCAAATTGTGCTTAACTCTTTTTGAAACTTTTATCTGTATAAAATTGGTATGCTGATTTCTGAGTCTTATCCAATCTTTAAGGAAGTTCAAGGAGCTTTTCTTAGCACCCAGTTCACATGTATACTTAGAGTAATAAGCATTTTCAAAGCCCAAGGATTTGGAATATAAAATATATCAGAGAGTCCTGGCAAGTTTGTAACCCACCTCATCTCTGTTTTATTCAGCATGCAGAGCAAAAACACTACCACATGAAGGCTTCATCACCTTTCTTTTTTTGATCCAGAATGCCTCTGCTCCTCACATTTCTATTTCTGAGGTTTTAATGTTTTTATTTTCTTTCAAATTTTCCTCTTTTTTAAAGTAGCAAAAGTGTCCTTTCTTTGACTCTTCTCTCCATCTGAACTTTCACTGTTTTACATTCAAGGCTCGAGTGTTTGCCTGCCTAATTCCACACAAACTCAGCTACTTTGACTAAATGCACCATAATTTTTTCTTGGTATATCCCATCTTCCTAGTTTTATTGCTTATTTCTGTTCTTAAAATCAGAAGACCATTAATGAAAAACAAAAATATAATTAATAATATATTAAACAAACATATAATAAGAAGTATATAAGTAAACATATAAAATATAATAAAAATATAATATTTATAATAGTATAACATTCCTTTCCTCCCAAGACTTTAAAATGGCAATAAGTATATTAGTACTATAATAAACTTCTGTGTTTGGAATAAAATATAGTGAGGCTTCTTTACAGACTTTGAATTTCTCAAAATTATTTTCCCATCAATAGCCACTACTTTGTATACACCTTTATTAAATTTTGTTAGCAATTTGAAAGAAATGTTACAAATAATGGTAAACTGTCTGTTATAGGGATTTGAATACACAAAATTTTTGGTTTATTTTTCTTGACACTTTCTCAAGGAGCAAATTAATAGAGCACTGCCACTTATGATCCCCAAGAAAAAGGAAACAAATGAGATAAGTCCTGTGATCTCCCTGGGTTTTTAATTTGAGGCATTTCTGGACTATGGCACAGGAACAGGAAAACCAAACAAAGCCTGGTAGTCTACTGAGTTGAACAGAGAACAGAGTTCAGAGAATCTGAAGGACCAAGAATTTGTGTGGCACAGTAGTGAAGATGAAGAAAGTATGTAGAGAAAGAGCTCTAGAAATATGCACAGGAGTATCCTTAAATCTTTAGCTGAATACCAGTCTGAACATGCATAGAGTCAAATACCATCAGCCCAGGCAAATGAACAATTTTGAGGAAGTTATAAACCTAATTATTCCTAAAGATTACACAAATTCCCATCAGCCAGACTGGAGAGTGTTTATCAAATATCTGAGGCTTTCAGTAGAGATCTCAGAAGGCTAATACCTTGGAAACTAACCCTAGAATTAAGATCTATTTAGATTTGTTCTAAAATAGATGAAAAATGAGGCTCCAAAGGATCAAACTAATTCACAAATAATTTAACTGCCTTCAAGAGAAAGTCCAAAACTCTTTAAAGAAATTGAAAAAGTTCAGAATACAATGACATAAAATCACAATGGTGATCATCCAATCGAAAATAACTAGATACACAAAGAAGCAGGAAAAGGATGGAGATGATGTAATTAGCAGACAGGATGTTAAAATAACGATTACAAATATGTTCACTATTTAATACAAATATTAAAAATAAGTTACAGGGGCACCTGGGTGGCTCAGTTGGTTAAGCATCTGCCTTTGGCTCAGGTCATGATCCCATGGTCCTGGGATCAAGCCCCACATCAGGCTCCTTGCTCACTAGGGAGCCTGCTTCTCCCTCTCCCACTCCCCCTGCTTATGCACCCTCTCTCTCTTTGTCAAATCTTTAAAAAAAATATGTTACAGAAAAACATAAACATGATGAGGAGAGAAATAGAAGGCATTAAGCAGAACCAAATAGAACTTCTGGAGATGAAAAATAAAATATCTGAAATAAAATTTTATTGATTGAGATTAACGGAAGCAAAAACATTGAGGAGAAAAAAGTCAGCAAACCTGAAGACAAAGTAACAGGCAAAAAAACAATTAAGTGACATCTTTAAAGTACTGGAAGAAACTGTCAACTTACATTCTATACCCAGTGAAATATTTTTTAAAAGTGAGGGTAAAACAAAGACTCTTTAAAGTGTTTGTTTTTTTTCCCAAGATTTTATTTATTTGTCAGAGAGAGAGAGAGAGAATGAGCACAAACAGGAGGACTGGCAGGGAGATGGAGAAGCAGGCTCCCTGTTGAGCAAGGAGCCAGAGGCAGGACTTGATCCCAGGACTCTGGGATCATGACCTGAGCCCAACGCAGAGGCTTAACAGACTGAGCCACGCAGGCATCCCAAACAAAGACTTTTTTAGACAAAGGAAAGTTGAGAGAATTCACTGCCATCAGACACGCACTACAAGAAATGCTAACAGAGGTTCTTCAGGCAGAAGGAAAATAACAGATAAAAACCTGAATCTACACAGAAGATTGGCAAGTACGAGGGTAAATATGAAAGTCATTTTTCCCACTTTAAGATTTCTTTATAAAATATTTGCTTATCATAGCAAAAATGATATTAACCAACTATGGGGTTTATAACATACGTAGAAGTAAAAAAAAAAATTGAGGACAACAATAGCCCAAAGTATGGGAGGGGACAAAGTAGAATATACTGTTGTAAGGGTCTTGGATTATAACACAGTGTCATTATAGTAAGTTAAAGATGTACTGTTGTAAATCCAAGAGTTAAAAACTAAACAAACAACAGGGGCACCTGGGTGGCTCAGTGGGTTAAAGCCTCTGCCTTTGGCTCAGGTCATGGTCCCAGGGTCCTGAGATCGAGCCCTGCATCGGGCTCTCTGCTCAGCGGGAAGCCTGCTTCCTCCTCTCCCTCTCTCTTTCTCTCTCTGCCTGACTCTCCGCATACTTGAGATCTCTGTCAAATAAATAAATAAAATCTTAAAAAAAAAAAAACTAAACAAACAACAGCAACAGTTTAAAAAAACTCCTTAAAGGTGTAAATAATAAGCCAAGAGTGGAGATAAAAATGTAATACTAAAGATATTCAGTTAGTCCAAAAGAGGTCAGAGAAGGGTGAAAAAAAGAACAATCAGGCAAAGAGAAAGCAAGTAAGGAGAAAAGAAATGATGTCATGACTATATTGGAAAATGGTGCCAAAAAGATGGGAGAAATAAAAGCATTTCTATCTGGGCATGGACAAGATCCAATTCTTTAAAAAAAGGAATATAAAATGATGAAGTAAAAGATCAGAGAATCACTGAAGCATGAAACTTGAGAAGGCAGAGGGATGGATAGTCTGCAGGGCACAGGCACAGACCTTGACCTTTGATGGAAACACAAACCGTTCATTCATAGGAAGGAAAGAAAAGGCAGATTATGTGAGCAGATTCAGGAAGGTGGGTAGATGGGACAGTGGGAGCTTATGAAAGTTCTCTGTGGTTGCTTCATTGTTCTAAGTGAACTAGGAAACAAAATAAACAGCTGAGAGTAAGGACAGGGAAAGGCGCACTGGAAAGATGTGAATTCTGAATTCAGTTGTGTACCTGAAGTGTGTCTTTTTAGGGTCTATAGTTCATGATCACATATACTTGGGCAAAGCATTGTTTGTTATACTCTAAATGAGCAACTAAATGTGGTGCTTCAAATGGTCCCCCATTGGAGCGTGAATATGATTACTGCCAAGAAATCTGCCTAAGAGAAAGTGTTTTCAGATTCCTTAAGTAATAGACTAGATGATATGCACTGAATGCAGGGAGGATCCTAGCTAGATGCTCCATTTCATCACAGGTCTCAGTGTAAAAGAGAAGGACTAAGGATTTTAAAATAATAACTTTTCAGAAATTACTGGATTTTAAAATAATAACTTTTCAGAAATTACTATATCCAAGAGAATTAAGACTCCCTTCTTCTAAAGCCAAAGATTCTAGGAGAAAGGCTGAGTGCTTAATCTGGCCTGCCTGACCTCAGGGAAGTTTTCCTGGAATTAATTTTTTTTTTAAACAAAAAGCATTTTTACCTAATTGTTAGAATGGAACTGTAAGTCTAACCATTCGTCCTCTCCTATCCTGTCCAGGAGACACGTCAGCAGTAGATTGGGATCAATTCAGCTAAAGTTGTGGGTAATTATTATTAGCTGTACACTTATTTACACACACACACACACACACACACACACATGCACGCACACAAAATATATTACCAAACTAAATTATTTTGAAAGGTTATTGCAAAAAAGGCAACAGATAATAATAAAAGTCACTACATGCCCATGACTTCCATTTGCATTATGTCTACTAACCACGCATCAAACTCGATCTTCTTGGCTTTTTGTCAATGAAAAGATTAATGCAGAATGTTCCTATGCTGATCCGGAGGTCTATTAAAAGAAATCTTCCTATTCTGATTGCTTTCTTGGCTCATGGGCATTCCTTGAACTTTACATGAGAAAAACGTAGCCTAGTTTGAAATTATTTTCATTTAATCAAGTAAATAAATGGAAGTTCGGAAGGCGATCTGATTCCTGAGACTGTCCCAGGTTCAAATAAGTGGCCAGGGGCATGAATTTTCGTTTGACCT